TGCTGCCAGACCTGCTGAGCTTTTCCTGCAACTTCTGTTTTTGTTCCTGATTTACAGCATCCACAGTTCTTTCGGTTTCTTTTTCAATCAGATAATAGTTTGCTTTCCATCTGAATTTGGCAAGGCTGTGCGTCATCGTCTCGAACATGTTGAGATTAGAAAAACCAGGTCGCTGTGTATAACTGGCACAGAAGTGATGGGCCAAAGGGCATTTTTCTGTGCTGTAGATTCCTAAAGAGTCTAGGACTCTTTGATAAGGATGGGAGAGTAGGGATGGGGCAGGCTATGGGTGATATCTCCTAAAATACATTCGCAACCTTACCCCAGCCCTGCTCCGTGATGAGAAATGACCCTGATGTGTTTCAGCTCCCATAACTTTGTTGCTTTGCCTCACTAGTTGTGTTGGTTCCACTCTTTCCTCAGTTTGTTTTCAGTGGCAGGGGTTGAATTCAACTGTTTCCCATCAAGCCTGGCAATGCCTTGATCCAATGCTTTATGAGATGTCCCAGAAACTTCTCAAAATGAACTCTCCTTTTGACAGGCACTATGGGCTGCTAGGGTGGACAATTTAGCTTGTGTTGTTCCTACAGCAAATATAATTGTGAAGGAGGAAGCCATTTACCCCCTTAAGCTCATTCTGTCTTTCAGTGAGAATATTCCAGATCTGTGACCTAGCTCCATTTGACCTCCTTTTATCCACATCCATTCATATCTTTGGTTAACATCTAGACGTAAAATTAAAAATCAATCCAACATCAACTGCCATTGGTTGAAGAAGATGCGAAGTATCGACCACATTTGACTGTCAAAGAGTTTCTTTTTTAAAAATGCATTCAAAAGATGCAGATGTTGCTGGCTGGGTCAGCATTTATTGCCCGTCCCTAGTTGCCCCTTGAGAAGGTGCTGCTGAGATGCCTTCTTCAACTGCTGCAGTCCATGTGCTGTAGGTTGACCCACAATGCCCTTAGGGAGGGAAGGAATGGCGATATATTTCCAAGTCAGGATGGTGAGTGGTTTGGAGGGGAACTTGCAGGGGATGGTGTTCACATATATCTACTGCCATTGTCCTTCTAGGTGAAAGTTGCCATGGGTTTGGAAGATGCTGCCTCAGGATCTTCCTAAACAAGCTAGCTCTAACATTTCAGTTATATCTCCTAGTTTTAGACTGCCCAGCCTCAACCTCTACTCACTTCTCTTCCCTCCTTTGCTGTCTTCCACTTCCCTCCTATCCCCTCCCCTCCTTTCTACCCAGTGTACAATCCGACAAACAATATCAAACTTCCATGACTCACTGGTTGTCCAACAGCCCATGATAAAAGTGTCTGACGGTGATCGAGGGAAAGGGAAAAATCACTAAAAATCTTAGCCTTGTTGCATCCAGGAACATTTTCCAGCTGGTTAAAAACAGGAGCTTTAGCTGAATTTTAATGATCCAGAGCCATTAATGTCAAAAGTATGACACATGGATGTTGCCATCCAAGCCTGGAATCATTGACATATGGTTGCAACATTTAGAAATGTGAATTAAATTTTAACCAGAAAATAAAGGTTTAAGTCTTGTTCCCTTGGCAGAATGATTCCAAACCTGGCACTGAGAGGAATTTCTGTGAAGCTATTGGACAGGATAGACCATACCCCTCTCACTACGACACCTCATCTCCATTTTGCAAACATAAAACTTAAAAAGTGATCTGACCGAGCTTCCACAGAATGTGGATGAGTGAACAACAACCCATCTTTAATGTTAAAACTTATCAAGACATGTCTAGGAATGTTATCAAACAACATTTGACACCAAACCTTTTGGAGATATAAGAAGAGACTGGTCTGACATATGGGTTTTAAAGGTGCATCTTAAAGGAGGACAGTTTGAGGATCAGAGTTTAGGAAAATCGTGAAGTGGAATCAGGATATGTGCTAGATTGGAATTGGGAGTGCTGAGATCGTAGAAGATTGTGGAATTGAAGGAGGTTAAGCAGATAAGACTATGGAGCAATTTGGACTCAAGATTGAAATACATGCTATAATTTCAGAAATGTAGAAGACTTTTCAAAATAATTGTCACATTACAACAGTGGTGCGCTGGCAACATACTTTATTAGAACAAAGAACAAAGAACAATACAGCACAGGAACAGGCCCTATGGTCCTCCAAGCCTGCGCTGACACATTTTGCCCTTCCATACTAAAACTGTCTTCACTTACAGGATCCATATCCCTCTATTCCCTTCTATTCATGTATTTGACCAGGTGTTTCTTGAATGCTGCTAATGTGTCTGCTTCCACCACCTCCTCCGGCAGCTCATTCCAGGCACTCACCACCCTTTGTGTGGAAAAAGTGCCTCTCACATCTCTTTTAAACTCCCCCTCCTGACCTTCAACCTGTGTCCCCTACTAATTGAACCCTCTACCCTGGGGAAAATCCTCATACTTTCCACTCTATCCATCCCATTCACACTGTTATAAACTTCTATCAGGTCGCCCCTCAACCCCCTGCATTCCAGTGAAAACAAACCCAGTCTATCCAACCTTTCTTCATAGCTAAAATCCCCCATACCAGGCAACATCCTGGTAACCCTTTTCTGTACCCTCTCAAAAGGATGCACATCCTTCTGGTAATGTGGTGACCAGAACTGTACACTATTTTCCAAGTCTGGTCTAACTAAAGTTTTATAAAGCTGCAACGTAACTTGTCTAACTTTATACTCAATGCCCCTTCCAATGAAGGGAAGCATGCCACAGGCCTTTTTCCTACCTTATCTACCTGCGCAGCCACCTTCAGTGACCTGTGGACCTGCAAACCCAGATGCCTCTGCATATCAAAACTCCTAAGGGTTCTGCCATTCGCTGTATAACTTCCACCTGTACCTGACTTTCCAAAATGCATCATTCACATTTGTGCAGATTAACCTCCATCTGCCAATCTTCTGCCCATGCCTCCAACTGATCTATATCCTGCTGTATCCTCTGACAATCCTCCTCACTGTCCGCAATTCCACCATTCTTTGTACTGTCTGCAAGCTGACTAATTAGATCAGCTAATTTCCTCCAAATCATTTATGTAGACCACAAACAGCAGGTGTCCCAGCACTGATCCCTGTGGAACACCACTAGACACAACCCTCCAGTCCGAAAAGCATTCTTCCACCGCTACCCTCTGTCTCCTATGACTAAGCCAGTTCTGTATCCATCTTGTCAGCTCACCCCTGATACCATGTGACTTCACCTTTTGTACCAATCCGCCATTAGGGACAATGTCAGTTGGAATTAAGAACTTTGAGATGTCATAAACAGTGTTACATAGGGTTGCTAATGCTCTAGACAAGGCCTGGAGTCTCAGGAAATTGAAGATCAATCTCCAGGACACTGCCTTTATATTCATCAAAAGATGATACAGATCAAAACTTAAGATGTTTGCTACGTTTACAACGATGAATCTTTATTTCACAAAGCAAAGTCAAATATTCTGGAATTTCTGTTGGTGTCCTTTCCATCTCCTCTATTTTCCTCTGAAGCTTTGGATTCTCACACATTTAGTAATGCCCATTGTGTTGTCACCGCTGTGCGCAACCTCTGGAGATAAATCAAAACATTGATTTTTTATTTTGTTTTTAAACATTTCTCTTTACCAGATGCAAAAATATTGAAAATTTGGGGGAATAAAGTCTGTTTGGGTGATAGTCAACCCAGACAAGGAGGAAGGCAGTGTATCACAATGACAAGTGTCGTCATCATAGAATCCCTACGGTGTGGAAACAGGCCCTTTGGCCCAACAAGTCCACACCAACCCTCAGAGTATCCCACCCAGACCCATCTGCCTATAACCCACCTAATCTATACATCCCTGTGCACTATGGGCAACTTAGCATGGCCAACCCACCCTAATCTGCACATCTTTGGACTATGGGAGGAAACTGGAGCACCTGGAGGAAACCCACACAGACATGGGAGAATATGCAAACTCCACACAGACAGGGTAGAATCAAACCCAGGTGCCTGGTGCTGTTAGACAGCAGTGCTAACCACTGACTACCATGCCACCCCATGTGTATGGGCTGCCAAATGTCTGATGAATAGCTGGAAATTGGTTTGCTGGGGACATGTGCAAGTCATGCAATGAAACCATCAAGAATAGATTTAGTCACAGTGGCAACACTAAATAAATGCAAGTTTGTCTTATCCTACTTTGTTTTAGTATGGCTTTCCTGTTCTTTGTGTAAGCTCAATAGGCCAGACTTGAAGGTTTCTTTGAACAATATTTATTGACATTAAAAACATGACAATATGGCAGCAGACTTCCCTGCTCTGAGCTGCTCTAGTTCCAACCTTCTGGGAGAGTCTTCATGACATGACTACCGAGATTGCAGTTTCACAGCATACCTCAGAGGCTTATGCACATTCAATAACCCTACCCCTACACTTCTCTGGTTTAATGCAAACAGACCCAGGTCTTCCAGTATTTCCACGTAATTGAAATTTCTTATCTCTGGTAGCTTTCCAATTAAAGACTTTGACATATCCTTCCAAAAGTGTGCTGCCCAAAACTGTACATAGTATTGCAGAAGGGACATAATGTGTGATTTATCAATTCGTTTATTGCGGTTTATTAAGATTTAGCATGAGTTATTCTTTTTCATATTCTGTGCAATACATAAAGAATATACATTTTAATTTTCATTCGAGTAACATTTTGATTTTGTCTTGCCACCTTCAAACATGGTCTCTCTGACAAATGTACCATTTAGTCTATTTTGATAGACATGTTGCGTGGTTATTGTAAAAGTTGATTGCCAGGTAATAAATTTGGAAATGATTTGTGAATATATGGAATATCTGAAATCCCCGAATTGGAATTTCTGTGAAATAGTCAATATTTCTTTTCTCGAGCGGGGCCGATGATTGGTTCCCTAACCGCCAATCAGTGCTCTTTCGACCAATGAATGACCCGGTCCCGCCCTAATCACGTGACACACAAGCAGTCTTCGTCTTCAACCAAACCTGATGAGGCGCAGCGCCCGCCTCCGCGACCTTCCTATTGGTGTAGTGACGTCAGGCCCGGCGAGAGCCCGCTCTCCTATTGGCGAAGACCCCTGTCAGTCGGGGAGGGACCTCCGGCGAGCAGGTTTGGTTGTGGTCAGGGGGAGGGGTGGACTTGTCCTCTGATGGGGGAATGAAGAGCAAAGAGCGAGTGCTGTACGGGTCGGTGAGTGAGGGAGGGAAGGTTTGTTAATTCTCAGAATAACCCACTTGGACCGCTGAATAAACTTTTCTTGTAGGTAAGGTGAGATGTTCATGTTCCTTTTGGTTCCCTTCCCCTGCTGGTTGCAGGAGGAGGGAGCCCCCAGTGTTTTCAGGAGTTAGGTAAAAGCCACCATTTCTCCTCCTCCTCCTCCTCCTCCTCCTCCTCCTCCTCATCATCAGCAGCAAAGGGTCACCGGACTCCGAACGTTATCTCTGCTTCTCTCTCTTGTACACAGATGCCGCCAGACCTGCTGAGTTTCTCTCTTGTTTGTTTCAGATTCTAGAAACCCCTACAGTGCGGAAAGAGGCCATTCGGCCCATCTGGTCTGCACCAACCCCCCGACACCACACCCCATAACCCCACCACACCCCATAACCCCACCACGACCATAGCTCATCCACCTAGACTGCACATTCCTGGGCACTATGGGGCAATGTACCATGGCTAACCCACCCAACCCGCACATCTTTGGACTGTGGGAGGAAGACCACGCAGACGCGGGGAGAATGTGCACGCTCCACCCAGACAGTCCCCCCGAGGGTGGAATCGAACCCGGATCGGATGGCGGATGAGCCACCTGGATCCTGCATGATCTCCGTCATCAGCTGGTACTAAGTTTCATCGAGCCTTTCTTACCTGGAAGCTGCATGGGACCCCGAAGAGCGAGTTGCATCCTGTCATCGGGGGCGCCCTGTGAAATGGAGGTTGCCCTCTCTCTTTTTCAAGTGCCACTGACTAATGTGCTGTCTCGCCATGCTGAGTGATCAGTCAAAGTGATGTATGAGCTATGACTGTTCTGCGTTCACCCTCCAAACCCCCCTTCTCTCAGTGTCCCTTCCTGATCTCTCTAGCCCCCAATCTTCTGTCCATTCTCACATCCTTCTGCTTCCCCTCTCTCCCACCCCCTTCTACCCTGACAAACCAACATTGTTTCCTTCCCTTCGTGGCAGACGTTCCACCCCAGGTTTGGCTGCTCAAATTCTGGACAAGTGTGATTCAGAAAGTGTGGATTTTCTTGGTGTCACATGGAGTGGAGGAGGTGAGAACCATACATGTGCTTAAGGGGAAGCCGGATACACAGGTGAGAGACAGCAGGGGATAGAAGGGTATCCTGATGAGGGTTTGATATAAGGAGTAGGAGGGGGAATATGTGCAATATACATGTCAATCTTTTGGGCTGAATGGCCTGTTTCTCTCCTACAAAATTCTGTTTAGTTCTTTGAATCTGGATCCATCTCACAGTCTTCAATATCTCCAGGACTTCCTGTTACTTTTTTTGCTGCTGGGTGAGCCAGTTAGTGCCAGTGCATGGAAGCCTTCCTCATTTTGTGCATCTCTTGTCGGTGTTGATCATTCTTGGGTCTGGTGTAGTATGGTGATCTTGCAAGGAGGGAGAAATTGTCATTCATATACTGCATCGCTTTTGCGCCACTAAAACATTTTAGGTGTCTTTGTCCTCATCCACTTCAGTGCCATTGATTTGTTTTTATCACGCAGTCGCTATTGTTTTCTGCATGTGGTAATAATTCCAGAAACCGCAATTTGACAACTGGTGGTGTTGATTCAAGGAGAAGTGTTGGAATCTTTTTATGTCTGCCTGTTCAGGCCATGGCTCAATGTCTCAATATCTCTGATAATGTTGTACTTCCTTAATGCTGTGTCAGCCAAGATTGTATGCTAAAGTCCCTGCAACAGCACTGAAATTTGCAACACTCTGACTCAGAGGTAAGAGTGTCATGACTAAATCAAAGCAGACAGCATAGAGCATCCTTTATTTTGCCCCACTGGCAGGTAAAGCTTCGAGGATTGCAACACAGAAAGGCCATCTGGCCCATTACTTGTGAATTGACTTTTTGTTAATGCAATCCAGAAATGAATCTCACTGCTTCCTCTCTCCTTCAAATCTGCACCAATATTTATCCAGTTCTTTTTTTACAAGATGTAATGATCACTACCTCAAACACCTGAGCGCCAATATATCAGCTGTTAATACGTTAAGAATTTCTCCTATTCTCTCTCTTAATCCTTAGTGACAGTTTTAAGAATGAACTTTCACCATGGATACTCTAACCAAATAAAGTAGACTTGTCTGACACTTCTTCAGAATTCTTTCTCTTGCTCTGCACTCTGTTAACTATGCCATAGTAATCCCTTCTCTGGTAGAAACGACATCTGTTTCCTCTTCACATTTATAATGTATGTGTATGCATTATCCTTGCGCTGTGGCTGTAATTGCCTTTCTATAATAAAATGTTTAAAACAGTGCGTACAATACTCACATTCTAGCCTATGCATTTTTTTTTGGTTAAATTGATTTTTTTTATTACTTGTACCTCTATACCCTATTTGTAAACTCAAATATTGTCAACCTTTTTCCGATTTTTGTTAACCTGCACTTACACTTTTAGGGAATTCTGTGTGTTTGAACCACTTGGACTCTCCCTTCCTGGTGCCCCAATAGTGTTCCTCAGGGATAGTAGGAACTGCAGATACTGGAGAATCTGAGATAACAAGGTGTAGAGCTGGATGAACACAGCAGGCCAAGCAGCATCAGAGGAGTAGGAAGGCTGACGTTTCGGGCCTAGACTCTAGGCCTATCGTCCTGGGGATTACCATTGACTGGAAACAGAACTAGACCAGCCACACAAATACAGTGGCTACAAGAGTAGGTCAGAGGTGAGGACTCCTGAAGTGAGGCATTGTGTGACTACTAACACCAAATGGACTGCAATGGTTCAAGAAAGCAGCTCACCACCACTTTTTCAATGGCAATGAGGCTGAGCATTAAATGGTAGCCCATCCAATGATGCCCACACCCCATGAATGAATGAATGGAAAAAAAATTGTGCCCATGTTCGGTAGAAACGACATTGAGGGGGGAACAAAACCTTGCATTCCTGTAGCACCTTTCATACACTCAATGTTCCAAGCCATTTCAACAGCCAATTAAATATGTCACAGTTGTGATCATTGTACTAACGTAAGGACATTTTTCAGACAATTTGCTGTTTGTGGGATCTTGCTTTGTACAGTGAGATCTGTTTCGGTCATACTGTTTGAAAGGTCAGTGTTCTCCTGAACACTGGGAAGTGTACCACTTCTCTTCAAATATGTTCCACCTCCTCTCACTCTATCAGCCACATCGTTCTCTACCTGGAATGGGAGGGAAGTCTTATGAAGAAAAAATTGGGCAGGCTATGCTTGGGCAGTGGGGTTTGCAAGAGTAAGAGGTGACTTGATTGAAACACAAGAGAACCTGAGGAGTTTTGACAGGTGCATGTAAAAAGAATGTTTTGTCTTGTGGAGTACTCTAGAAATAGGGTTCACTGTCTCAACATAAGGGAGACCCATTGAAGACAGCTGATGAGAATTTTCTTCTCATGGAAGGTTGTGGTCTTTGGTACTGTCTTCCTCAAAACGTTTTGGAAGCTAAGTCTTTGAATATTTTTAAGGCAACAATGAATAGATCCTGGATAAGCAGGAGTTGAAATGTTATCCAGGGTAGGCAGAAATGTGGAGTGATTGGATTAGCCCTGATCTCATTAAATAATGGAGAAGGTTCAAGGGACCGCATAGCCTTTTCCAGTTCCTGATTTCTATGTTTGTATTCCTTTCTCCTTCATATTTAACTCACTTGCCTTTAAATACATATGTCATTTGCCTGAAAGACTCCATGCCTGTAGTTGGGGCCAAGTGGTTAAAGTGATGGATTAGAAATCCATTGGTATTTTCCTATGTTAGTTCAAGTCTTGCTGATTGCAGTTCCAAAGGGATCTTGTGGCAAAGTGGTAGGATCCATTTCTTTTGCCGTAAAAGGTTTGAGTACAGGTCCTGCCTGCCTCAGAGGTGTTGTAACTTGTAACTTGTTCAGACAGGCTGTTTTTTTTTTTTAAAAAAAGCACCCATATGATTGTTCTCCTCACCCTTTGGGTAAACAGACTTCTTCCGAGTTCCTTATTGAATTTATTAGTAACTATTGAATAGTTATTTGGGGGTTGCTAGTTTTGATTTGTTTTGTACAGCGTTTGAGCACAGCAGTTTGGTTAACTGAACAAGTGATGGTTTAAACAGTAATGGCTATGTGTGAATATGTTTAAAGGTGAGATGTATGTTGGCGCGGTTTTGCCTGAACACTAAGCTATTTGTAGTGCCAGCACCGTGATTGCAACTAGGTCAGGCTGTTTATGCAAGTGTCCTGTAATTATTGACAGTACCTGAGATAATGGAAGTATCCAGCTTCCACATGTTGACAAGTGAAAAGGAAAGTTTACCTTTCGTGACGTCAGGATTTCGCAAGCACTTGCACTGATTAAATGCTATTGAAGCAGTCACTTGCCATAACTATATTGTTCCTTTAACTGCAGAAAAAAATGCCCCAAGGTGCTTTTCATTCATCTAATCAGACAAAATCTAATACTGAGCCACATGAAGGGATAGTGAGACAAGTCCAGAAGCTTGATCAGTGACAAGTAACTTCAGTGTAAGAGGTGCAGATGTTGTGGTGAATATATTAATAGGTTTGTTGCAGCAAGAGTGCAATGTATGCACAGTCGTCTTATATTTACTGTATAAGATGTAATGTAAAATGCATATGTGGAAAAAATGGCTACGTTCAATGCAGGAACACATCTGGGGATCATCTGACTCAGTTTCTCAAGCTTGGTTTCTTTTTGGCTATTTATAGCAATGTGTAAATCTCTTGAGTTTCTTCCTAGCATGTCGCAAACTCCTAGCTATTGTTTATGCGCTGAAGGATCTACAGTTGGTAGTTAGGTTCCTTATTTTTCTCCTTAAGCAAAAAAACATTGCAGCATGGGATGTTAGTGTGTACCTTTTGGATCTTGAGTAACTGGTGTCCAATTCTTTCTATTAATTTGCTGAAATTTTTTTTTTGCTTTCAGAAAGCCTGTCAAATCTTTTGTGTATTTAATCATTTGATTACGTTTGGGTTCTGCATCCTGAATACTTATCTCATCTTATTGGAGATCTAGTCAGACATGTATCAGGTACTTGTTTTCCGTTTGGTCTAGGATAGTGCTCTAAATCTCATTCACAGTTTCAGGTCGGGCAGATGTAGTCGCAACATCGCACACCACTAGTTGTTTACAGGGATTCTGTCTCTGTCTTTTTGCTGCAGCAATCCACCCAGCTGTCTCTTCATAGCCCTGTAACATTGCTCCAAATATTTATTCCATTTTCCCTTAAAAGTTAACTTAGTTTCTCTACCTGCTTCCTGCAATATAACATCCTAGGTTTTAGCAACCCTTACATAAAACAGTGGCAACTTGCATTTTGAAAACATTTTTACTCAGCAAGTGGTTAGGGTCTGGAATGCGCTGAGAGAGTGCATTGGAGGAAGATTTGATCATGGGGTTTCAAGATGGAATTGGGTCGTTACCTGTAAATAAAACAATTGTAGGGCTAACGAGAAGCGGCAGGTCTCTATCCACTCGATGAGATGCTTCCTCTTGTGGGAGAATGTGGAACCAGGGGTCACTGTTTTAAAAATAAGAGGTTGCCCATTTAAAACACAGATGAGGCAAAATGTATTTTCTCAGAGGGTCGTGAGTCTTTGAACTGTCTTCCTGAAAAGGCAGTGAAAGCAGATTCGGTGAATGTTTTTAAGGAAGAGGTGGATAGATTCTTGGTCATTAAGGGTAGTAAAGATTATCGGGGTAGGTGAGAATTAGAATTCAGGTTAAATTACATCAGCCATGGTCCTATTAAATGGCAGAGGATGGCCTACTCCTGCTTCCTGTTCATATGTTCATGTTACAGGTACAGGCAGACCTTGGGTTATGAATGGATTCCATTCTTCTGTATTTTCATAAATCGATTTGCACGCAAGTCAGGACACAATACAATATAAAATAGGCATTTGTAAAAATGAGCAGACGTTCACCTGTTCAGATCTTTGATATTAATACCTCACTGTGTGGGATCCTGTTTGTAAGTACGAGTGTTTGTATTTTGGACGTTTTTAAGTCGGGCACTACCTGTAGTTGATTTTCTCCTTTACACTGTGTAATTCAGAAACATCAGAGGAGAGAGATTGGATGATATCTGTTTCACGTACCTCAGCACGTTTTCTGAGCTGCTGCATTGAATTGTAGCAAGGTGACCTTACTGGCTAGTTTTGTATTCCCTGTAATTAGGGCTGATTTGCTTCATTTAGTTAGCAAATAGATTTTCGCTTTTGCATTTTAACTTTTTCTAAGGCTGGCATCTTATTTATAAATAAATTCAGGGTAGGTGTATTGTAATTTCATGTATTTTTCTTGTTTGATTTTAGATTAAGCAGGAAACTCCACCACTGGTAACTGTGCCTAAAGCTGTCCATGTTGTAAGCTTGTGAATTCCCTCTCCAAACTTCTACCTCTTTGCATAATTGCTACTTCTAATATTTTCTCCTTTGGTATGTCGTACATCTTTGCTTCTTGTGCCTCTGAGGTTCCCCGGGTCTACTTTTATCTGTTAAAGATGCTATATAAGTACAATAAGAAAAATGGAGCACTACAGATGCTGGAGACCAGAAGTAAAAACAGAAAAAGCTGGAGAAACTCAGCCGGCCTGGCATCATCTGTGAAGAGAGAAACAGAGTTAACATGTCATGGCCAAATGACTACTTCACATCACAGTATACGTTATTCTAAATAGAAGTTTTAGTTACAACATTGTGCCTTATTAGTCACACAGTTGGGACTTCCTTGTGAAGTATCTTCAATGGCACTTTCTGACTCCCTGACTTCTACCACCCAGAAGGACAAAACAATAGGATCCCAGGCAACACTACTACCTTCCTGATCCCCTCCAAGTTGTGCACCACCCTGACTTGAAAAATATTGTTGGATCAAAATCTTGGGGTTCCCTATGTAACAGCATCACATAAAACAGATTGGAAGAGTTCTTGAGGGCAGAGATGCCCTTGTCTCATGAACAAAGTTTTAAATATTTAATCCTTTTCAGGCTGGCGAAATTATGCTGCGTTCGGATAGAAATTTCAGATTTTGTTTTGAAAGAGGTTTCCCTACATCTACCGCTCATTTCTTAACATTCATTTAATGTTAGCATTACAACAGTTCTCCTTTTAACTTAGTTGTGTTTCTGTTTTTCAACAGGATGTAATGTTTGTTCTGCATCAAACTGTATCCTGAATACCCCAACCCTGGGGCTAACGATGTCTGATGGAATAGTGGGAAGTGAGCCTCAATCTGTGTTCAAGGTACATACCTTTTAATGTTTTTGAGTCAACCCTATGCATTGTTTAGGGGAAAAATAATCAAATTAACTGGAGCAGTGCCCTCCATGCCCCCAAAGTGTTTCATGACTGCGTGCTGCTGGACTGAGATGCAACATAAGAGGGTTATCTTTCCCATCCTTAATTTGAAGTGTAGCAGTTATAGTAATTGACTAATAATCCAGAGAACAGGAGTTGCAAATCCCACCATGGCCATTTTTGGATTAAGTTTTTTTTTTTTATCCGTTTTAAGTTCTGTCAGATCAACATAAAAAATCCATCAGTCATGAAAGGAAAGGAAATCTGCCGGGGTTAGGACAGCAGATTTCCTTTCCTTTCATGACTGATGGATTTTTTATGTTGATCTGAC